CCCGTTCACACCTTACACACACACACACTCACGCATAAACACTCACGCATAAACACACACGCACGCATGTGCCACTATATTCGCAAAAAAACAACAAATCTCGAGAGTGTTCCGCTCGGAGAAATAGAGTTCAAGTTTATTTTCCCAAACGTTGGGAGAAATAAAGCCGCCCTTTTTAAAAATACCATTCAAGATTAAATTTTCTTTTGCATTGTATGTTGTTTTATTGCCTTCAGCAGCAAGCTGCTTTATTGCTGAGTGGTGAATAACAATGTCACCAGAATTTTTTGAAGTAGGATCAAATCACCCGGCATTCTTTTGACATTGAATCATAGATCTTCTAGAGAAAGTATGCCATGCCATAGACTGCGGCCATAGACACTTTACTAAATACAGTGCCTGGCTGGGAGTCAATTAATCCTTTTTCGAAATGTTCAATCTGATCTCTATCAGACTTAAAGCCTCGTCAAAATTAGACAATGGACTAACAACAAGAATACAGTTCCAGTAGCCTCACTCCTTTAACTGACAGTGCAGTGCAATCGGTCTGTCACACCCACTTTTGACAACAAACACGATCATCACTCAATCTGATTTTCTAAGAGACAAGTAGATCCACCTTGAGTAAACCTGTGCATTTTGAATTCAAGCGATTGAATTCTTCTTGACCAAGTTCAGGATAAATCTCTTCCTTCAGCACATCATCTGTAAGTTCCTTAACCCCGTAATAATTTCTTTTAGCTAATCCATTCAAGAGGGCCTGAAAGCATTTCGCATCATCTGCCATTTTGATGATCATGTGATTGCAAACTTTTTAATAAGCTCGTTCCTTTTTCAAAGTTTATTCAATTTTAAGGTAAAATGTAGATTCTATATGATTAACTGTTTTTAACAGTCAAAAATACAATATAAATTACAAGATAAAGAAGATAGAATTTTGAACGCAACTGTAGAAATAGAACTGATATTATCCACCACACATAAAAAGTTATCGAAACAAATATTAGGTGATAGGAATAGGCAAGCGGCTAGTCCTAGTTTTTATAACGCTCGCACCATCAACAATCAACCTCAAAGATGGCGGCCCCCATGAGCGGAAAACCGCTAACTAGCCTGTCCTTTGAGCAAGAGCAAGATGCTAATTCGGCCCTAACGGAATTAGACAAAGGTTTTTACCATTGCAATCTTGGGAGAATTTCCATGTAGAATCTAATTCATCCGTTTCAGTATACTTCTCATACTTCCGAAAGCCGTTTTTTAGGTGGTTGGCGGATGGATGCCTTCTCAGACTGAATCTCAATCTGACTTGACGCTGGTGTCGTTTGCTCCTCCTTTCCTTCGGTCGACCTATTCCAACATCTAGATATCACTGTCATCATTATTTGAATTGCCAATGCCGTAAAACTTACTGAATTACTGGCTGGGACTGAGGATGCGCAACTGCAAGCGGCAAGCACATCATTGAATGGTTGGGCGTGGCAATCTGACTGTTTCCATTTCGGAATCTGCACGGGGAGGGATTCCGTAATGAGCTACCACTATGAAATAAAAAGAAGGTTAAAGGCTAGGGGTAGGAGAAGGGTTAGCCTAGTTCTAGGTCCTTTCTTTATTCTTTATTGTATTCAGGGGTGAAAGTTTTCCGGCTCCTGCCGGAATTTCCGGCTACTTGAACTCATCCGTAGGCCACCCTCTGGCTACACCGGCCGTGCAAGTCGTCCATAGCCAGCGATGTGACAGGAATTTGATAAAATAGAAAATCGCCGAGACCCGGGAATTTGAGGAAATCTGTTAATTACCCCGCGAAAAAGTCGGGAAGACTCGGGAAAATATAAAAAGTTCTGGAATACATGTATTTGAAAACAAATTCCGATATGATCAGCAAGTTCAGTTTTGCTGGTCGCGATTGTGATATATATTCGTTCTGCTTTTCCCGGTCCGATAGTACGTGTTACGCGAACAGGCGGCTATGGCGGCATGCGGAAGCGTGTGACACTGTGGCTCGGTCGAGAATATCAAGATTACTTTCGCTTTCGTTACCACCCAGAACTTGGCCAGTGATAGACTGGTAACACAACATTTGTGACATGCAGGTCGTCCGCTATAAACGCTGTGTCGTCATGGAAATAAGTCAAATTTTTTATCTGAGCTGTCACTTGTGAAACAAGAATGAAAAGCATCGTCCGATTGTCAGCTTGTTGGGCTCCTCATGGTGACCGGTCATTGAACCTGCGTGCGTTCTCGTCGCATCATAGGGAATCCTGTGACTGTGAGCACCGACGGTAGTTAGGGTCGCCAAAGTTCATTCAAAGTCTAGCGTTTGGAAGCATAGGACTCGGAAGGGGGGGGGGGGAGAATTATATTGATTTTTTTTTTAAATATACTCTGGGAGGGGCAGGGTTGGGTTGATTTAAATCAGGTTGATTTAAATCAGTTGATTTTTTAAATTTAAATCAACTTGATTTTTAAAATAAAAATCAGTGATTTAAATCACTTTTTTTTAAATTTATTTTTATTCAGTTTTTAAATATTTCAACATTCAGAATTCCTTTCCTAGGTTTCATAAAACAGATATAAGGTTTAGTACACTAATATAATCATGCTTAAAAGTCTGCTTCCCCCCCCTTTCACTGTAAAATAATACAGTATATTCAATTTTCTTTTTTTCCCCATAATTGAAATCAGAGCTTGGTTGATTTAAATCAGTTGATTTTTTTTATTTTAATTAACTTGATTTTGTGATTTAAATCACTTTTTTTTAAATGTATTCTGTTTTTACATATTTAAACATTCAGAATTCATTTCCTTGGTTTTATTTAACAGATATAGGTTTAGTAGACTAATATAATCATGCTTAAAAGTTTGCTTTCCCCCCTGTCACTGTAAAATAATACAGTATTCAATTTTCTTTCTTTTCATAATTGAAAACCAGAGTTGGGTTGATTTAAATCAGGTCGATTTAAATCAGTTGATTTTTTTAATTTATATCAACTTGATTTTAAAAATAAAACTCAGTGATTTAAATCACTTTAAAAAAATGTATTGTTTTTACGTCTTTAAACATTCAGAATTCCTTTCCTTGGTTTTATAAAACAGATATAAGGTTTAGTAGACTAATATATTAATGCTTACAAGTCTGCTTTCCCCCCTGTCACTGTAAGTAGTAAATTAATACAGTATTCAATTTACTTTTTTTTTCATGATTGAAATTAGCATTTTCTTTTTCTTTTTTGACAAACACAAGCGCGTGCACACACACACACTGTAATAAAATACAAGTTTATCTATGCATAATTACTCCCTCCCCCCCTTTCCTTTTAGACTGACATTTTCTTCATTTTTTGTCTGTAGCCATAATTCACTGATATAGCAGATTAAGGGTTTCTTTCGCAGTTGCTTAAATTAATCATTAGTTAAAATAAAGACAATGCATTCTGCACTAAAAGAACATACTTTTAGCCACCAAAAATCCCAAACTGTGTCGACATTTTTTTTTTAAATCAAAAAATCCAAAAAATCCGATTTAAATTTTAAAAAATCTGATTTAAATTTTAAAAATCTATTCTTTTTAAATTTTTATTTAAAAAATCAAAAAAATCACCAACCCTGGGGAGGGGAGGGTGCGGAAGGCGACACCAGAGGACAACAGACTTGGAAGCACATTTTATTAAAACATTTTATTTGAGCTCTCTACAAAGCGCGCTTTGTGTGGAATCAGGGTCCGTATCATATCTTGTTTGCCTTGTTATTGATGAACTTAAGTGTTTGCGTTTCATTGGATCGGTGATAGTAAATTATAAAGTAACTATATTTTTTTTAGCTTTCTGTTCAAGACTGGCAGATTTTCAGTATCACTGCATCTTGACCTCTCTCAGTTCTTACAACTATCGCACTGAATAGGTCTACTTGAGCCATTCAAGTTTTTACTCTACTTTGATTTTGAGCAATAATTTTTGTCTTTCACGTTTAAAATATGAATCATGATACCAAGATTGGTTCTTGACAGTCGATTTTCTGGTTCTAGGCCCTTTCACAGGCTCAAAGCAGGATTCATTTATAATATAGTTTATATTATAAAATAATGAGGGGAAAATATAAATAAGACTTAGAAAATATCTAACAAGTAAGAACAGACTGAAATACGTAAGTCACACAAGACTCCATTTTTTTGACTGGATACATTCTTATATAATGTTGGCTACGTACTTGTTTGTGTGTGCGTGTATATATATATTTAAATAGAGCAGGTGCTGTCACTGTTATGTAACATGCCCCTGGAAAATTGAGAAGCGTACCCCATCCTTCAGGCCGCGTGAATTTACCATGAACTTTTCAGGCTCTTCGTTCTGTAACAACAAAATTTTCTGGCTAAACCGTCTCTTGTCACTTTCACCCATGATTGTATTTGTTGGTGTGGTCCGTGGTCGCTCGTTACAGAAGTCCTTCTTATGAACGTTGTACATTTACTGTAGGCCTTAGACATTTAAATTATAAGACATAATAAGAGTTGTAAGGGTTAGGGGAGGAGTTCCGCAGACGGCTGGCACTTACCATGACAAGGTCTACTTAGCGAACTATAGGCCTACAAGAGTTAGGGTTAGGGTATACCCCACTCAAAATATCCACTCGTTTGTGTGTTGTTGGTCGGCCGGCCCTCTGCAGAACTCCTTCCAGGGTTAAGATTACAATCATAACCTTATCCAGACCCTAGGCATGAAGGCTTTAAACCTAAACCCTTCTTACCTATTATCTGGGCTCAACAAAATTTGTGCCTCTTGGATGAGGTCAAAAGGTCAAGTGTAACTCTCTTCTACTGAACTGCCTTTTCTAGTGACAAGAACAAACTAAATCATAAATTTTCATTTCATTGACTTGTTTTGGTTGAAATGCCACCCATTTCTTCCCTGTATTCATCTATAGGTTTTTCCATTTCAAGACTCAATTTCAAGTGAAATTGGTGGTTACTCATTACCAAGGAACGTGTTTCTTTTTCTTGGAAGAAATTCCATATGACACTATTTATATCCAAGATGATTGAAATTAAATAAATATATTCTGTACTGTGTACATGGAAGTCATTTTTTGAATCTCTCTGAAATAGCCGAATCTGCTCTGACGGTCACGTGTAGAAGATGATGACCTGTGCCAACGCCCCCCCGCTCCCCTCGCGTTTTTCAATATATATATAATTATAATGATTTGACACAGGGAAAGAAGTCCACCTATCTAAGACAACCACATTTTCCTCTACAAGGGGTGGCTGTCATAGACAATTTCCACTGTAAGTTTGTCTCTTTGGATAACACACAATGTTGTGAATGAGAATTCTGTACAGTTTTGAGAGATAACTGTCCTGGATTTGCTGTGTGATAGATCTACTTGTACTTGTTCTTTTGGAACTCATCTGCTACAAGTATTTTTTTTCATCAGAATTCTTTTACTTATTACTCTGCAGCTCTACGCTCCGGCCAGATTGGGATTCAGTGTGAAGCCGTTGTGAAGTTTCCCAGATTGTTTGAGAAATATCCCTTCCCAATTCTCATCAATTCGGCAATGTTGAAGATTGCTGATGTCTTCAGAGGAGGGTACGTTGATCAATCTTTGTCTTCATCACTGAACACTGTGACCTCAGTGACCTGTTTACTTTGTCTTCATCAACACTGTGACCTCAGTGACCTGTTTACTTTGTCTTCATCAACACTGTGACCTCAGTGACCTGTTTGCTTTGTCTTCATCAACATATGGGAATTGTGTATTTTATGACCATCACCACAACATTTTTCCTTTGCTACAGACTGTGCATACGCCCACTTTCTATTGAATAGAAAAGGTAAATTTATTACTTACCTTATGTCCAGCAAACAAAAGTATCATGTGATCAAATTTCATTCAAGAAATTCTTAATTTTTAAAAATTAGACAACAATGTCTTTGGTAGACAACGGTTCTTCCTCTATTTATTATTATATTATTATGATGGGAAATATTATTGATTTCTGTAACATTCCATGATATTTCTATGACTGGATTCAAGATTATGACACATGCCAGTTTGCAAGTTAGCATTTGTTGGAGTGATGCACCCAGCCGTTGACTTGTGAGCACTGGACTTGTTGACCTCTTTCTCTTTCTCTGCCAGGAACAACTTCATCCGACAATGCATTCTGCGTGTAGCTCAACAAAGTGAAAAGCATTTGGACAAAATCTTCACGGTGGAACAGTTCACCAGGAGAATCTTTGGTGTGATTCACAGTAACGATCCTGTAGCCCGTGCCATTACGTTGAGGTAGGACAACGGATTTCTTGTTTCCTTTTATCAATGTTTGACGCGCAACTTTTGTCATATGTTTGCTGTAACTGAGAATATACTGTATGGTTGAAGATGAATAACTGAGAATATACTGTATGGTTGAAGATGAATAACTGTTAGAATATACTGTATGGTTGAAGATGAATAACTGAGAATATACTGTATGGTTGAAGATGAATAACTGTTAGAATATACTGTGTGAAGGTTAAAGATGAATAACTTACAATATACTGTGTGAAGGTTAAACACTCAAATGTCCACCTGTCTCAATCCTCAAATGTTCACCTGTCTCAAATGTCCACCTGTCTCAAATGTCCACCTGTCTCAAACCTCCACCTGTCTCATATGTCCACCTGTTTCAAACCTCCACCTGTTTCAAACCTCCACCTGTCTCAAACCTCCACCTGTCTCAAACGTCCACCTGTCTCAAACGTCCATTTTCCCCCTGAACAATGGATGACTGTCCTATCTGGCATGTCTGTGACGTTGTTTGTCATGGCCAGGACCCTGGGCACGGTTGCGAGCATCATCGCGGAGAAGAAGAGTGTCCATCACAGCATCATTCTCTGCCTCGACTCTCACAACGCTGTCGAAGTTGAGGCGGCCATTTTTGCTGCAGAAAAATTTTCCGAGAAATCCAAGTAAGATTGTGTGTCTGTTGTGCTTTGGGTGGAGAAATCATGATGGAGGAATAAATGAAGAAAGAAAGAAATAAACAAATGAAGAAATACTCTTTGTTGATGGCAGTGGGGAGATGTGGGGTACACTGACAAACCAACATGAATCCATCAACACAGATAGGGTGGACTGTGTGTGTCTACTGGCATGTATTTCCCACGGCCCACATCTCTGATTAGTTTCCACAAAGTTTGGGGGGAAATGAAAGTACTTCTTTTCTTATCCGATTTGTTGAGTCTTGTGGGAGATTTCATGTTCTCATTTTCTGTTCCTGAAAACATCCTGTGTGTCATGTTGTGTCGTGTTGCGTCACGTTGCGTCTCGTTGTGTCATGTTGTGTCTCATTGCGTCATGTTGTGTCTCGTTGCGTCACGTTGTGTCACGTTGCGTCATGTTGTGTCATGTTGTGTCGTGTTGCGTCACGTTGCATCACGTTGTGTCTCGTTGCGTCATGTTGCGTCGTGTTGCAGGATGTTTGCAGCCAGCGTGTGCAGTAAGATCGGAGCCATGATTGCCGGCCTGGCCACCCCGACAGAGAGGAAGGTCAAGTTGATTCCCATCCTACAGCACATGCACCACGACACCGACACCGCCAACAAAGTAGGTCACTCGGCGCCTGCAGCATCATTGTTGACAGCATCAACATCATCATCGTTATTGTCACCATCGCCATCATCATCATCACCACCATCATCATCACCATCACCATCATCATCATCATCACCACCATCGCCATCATCATCATCACCACCACCATCGCCATCATCATCATCACCACCACCATCGCCATCATCATCATCATCACCACCATCACCACCATCATCATCATCACCACCATCACCATCATCATCACTATCATCATCATCATCACCATTATCAACATCATCTTCATTGTGTACAGAGAATAAAAAAGGTTGAGACTTGTGGTTGGATTTCCTAAATATTTTATAATACGTTCAATATTTCTCCCGCTACGGGCTTCGTCAGGAACTTTTTAAAAAATGGTCCTTCACGTCATCAAATGTCAACAGTTTTCCTTTTTCTTGTTTGGTTTTTTCTTGAAGTGTAACATTTACTGCCATGTTGACTCATGGACACACTGACACCGAGACACACGGACCCTCGGACACAGAGACACACTGACACTCGGACACACTGACACAGAGACACACTGACACCGAGACACACGGACACACTGACACCGAGACACACAGACACAGAGACACACGGACACACACACACACTGACACATCATATTGGCACAGATTTAAGCATGGCATTGTTTGAGCTTGTGAGTTTCATGTGTCTCCCCCCCCCTCCCCATGGAACTGTGTGAGCGCGTGTTGTCTAACTAACTATTGACATGTTTCAGGTCATGGAACTGTGTGAGCGCGTGTTGTCTAACTAACTATTGACATGTTTCAGGTCATGGAACTGTGTGAGCGCGTGTTGTCCAACTACCCGGCCCAGCAGTTTGTGGTACTCACCCTGCACACGATGACACGCCTCACAACTCACTCGCTGCTCAGTCTACAGGACCACGTGGCGCGACTCTTGACCTACCTCACCTCCGACCCACGCAGCAGGGTCAAGGCCGTCTGTCTGGACGACCTGAGGATGCTTGCTCTTCGAGCAGCATATTTGTGGAACGTGCAAAATCTGGAGGTAACGTCTTAGTGTCAAATTTTGATTGTACGAGAGAGCTGCGAGCTGTGAGCTTGTCCGTATTGCTGTACTGAATTGTCATTTATTAGACACATTGTGGGACAAAGGATCATTTATTATACATATTGTGGGAGATAGGACCATTTATTATACATATTGTGGGAGATAGGACCATTTATTATACATATTGTGGGAGATAGGACCATTTATTATACATATTGTGGGAGATAGGACCATTTATTATACACATTGTGGGACAAAGGATCATTTATTATACATATTGTGGGAGATAGGACCATTTATTATACATATTGTGAGACAGAGGACCATTTATTATACACATTGTGGGACATAGGACCATTTATTATACATATTGTGGGACATAGGACCATTTATTATACATATTGTGTGTGTGGGACAAAGGACCATTTATTATACACATTGTGGGACATAGGACCATTTATTATACACATTGTGGGACATAGGACCATTTATTATATACATTGTGGGACAAAGGACCATTTATTATACATATTGTGGAACATAGGACCATTTATTATACATATTGTGGGACAAAGGACCATTTATTATACATATTGTGAGACAAAGGACCATTTATTATACATATTATGGGACATAGGACCATTTATTATACATATTGTGGGACAAAGGACCATTTATTATACATATTGTGGGACATAGGACCATTTATTATACATATTGTGGGACAAAGGGCCATTTATTATACACGTTGTGGGACATAGGACCATTTATTATACATATTGTGGGACATAGGACCATTTATTATACACATTGTGGGACAAAGGACCATTTATTATACATATTGTGGGACAAAGGACCATGCAGTACAGGATTCCAGTCTGTGTCAGACAGACAGCCGTGGAAAGACAGGAACACACAGACAGCCGTGGAGAGACAGGAACACACAGACAGCCGTGGAGAGACAGGAACACACAGACAGCCGTGGAGAGACAGGAACATACAGACAGCCGTGGAGAGACAGGAACACACAGACAGCCGTGGAAAGACAGGAGCACACAGACAGCCGTGGAGAGACAGGAGCACACAGACATTACAGTGACAGTGACAATGACAGTTACGGTGACAGTTACGGTGACAGTGACAGTTACCTTGTACTCCAGTGACAGTTACGGTGATAGTTACAGTGACAGTTACGGTGACAGCTGCTATGATAGTTGCCCGGCTGTCCACAACGCTCTGTGCGACGTGTGGCGCCGTCTGTTTCTTGGCGTGACATGAGATATGTAGTGGAGATGTTTGTGATGAGTCTTCCTTTCTCTCACAGGATGTGGCCAAGTTTGCCCTGTCCTCCTCCTCCATCGCTCTGAAGGTGAAGGCCGTCCGTGTGCTGAACGCCGTGTGTGGGAACGTGGCCATGACCTTGCTGCCTCTGTCGACCGGTAGGTCCACTCTCCGTCGCCAACTCCGTCCTCTTCTGTCTGTCAATGTTCTCATGGACTAATTCTACACACTGTCAATGTTTGAGTCTGACTGTGTCATGGCTGGTACCCTGGAACTCGTATTCAACGAGGTCGCCGGGCCTGACCTAAAATCTCGTTGAACCCGAGTGTTCGTTATAGCAAACACGAGGTTTTGTGTAGATAATTGTTACAGTTACAGGCGCTGAGCAAGTAATGTAGAAAGAGAAGTAACTAGTGGTGCCTGAAACGCCTGCATAGTCACAGCGGTTATAGAGCGCCCATTTAGTTTCGGCTGGCGCGAGGCAAGCAAGCCGGCGCTTCCCCAGGTCACGGGGTCATTTACCTGCGCC